TCTACTTCTACATGTTGAACCCAAATACCTGTAACTTTTCTACTTCTTCACATTGTTGACTCAATCCTGTTTACTTTCTACTCCCTTACATGTTGACCCGAACATACCATTACTTTCTTACTTCTTTACATGTTGGAACACAAATACCTGTACTTTCTACTTTCATTTTCCAACAGGGCGTTTCCTTTAGTTTGAATTGGTGTGTTTGGTGGGTGATCTTTTATTAGAGTCATTGCGTGCCTATTGATTTGAAAACGATCTAGTGTCCATCATTCCTTGGTCTTTCTCTAAGAAGGAGGGACAATGAACGTTGTCATTGTGCCGTTGTTCGCATGGAACATTCATTTTTCTGTGTTCCCCTTAGTGGTTTACTTCCCGCTTGTGTCTTCTTAGCAACATATATCTCCTTGCAACGCGTCAGTTAGGGAAATGGAACAACCTCTGGAATGTCAATCGACACATCAGTTTGAGTGTTACTAAGTCGTGCTAATAATAATACAATTGAATTACATGCTATTACGTTAACATAAGCCTGGGCTAGTATAAACGGATCAACCGTTGGCTCCACCTTTTCCAGCAGCAAAATAAAACAGTCTTAGAGTACACTTAGAATCAGTGATACACAATAATTGCAAATGCAGAAGCATGATGAATGAGTACTTTAAGGTTATTTGCTGCTAATCTTTTACCTTTGAATGCCAGCTTTTGAGTAGCCAAAGTATTTCACACTGTGGCGTATTTTTACTTTCTAAGATCTTTCCCCCTTGGAAGGTTAGGGTCATTCATTGAAGGTTTCCATTATAAGTTCCAGGTATCTTGCCATCCTGCTGCTTTGGACTAGCACCTTGGAGCTGTATGCAGATCCTCTTGCTGTGTTAGAGAGCTCTGAGCAGCAGGATGGGTCACTTATAAAGCTTCGTACGGTGTCAGGGAGCTGCTGAAAACGGCTGTACAGTTGTTTTCCCGCTCTGATGAGGTCGCAGAGGCGCGGGAAGGTATTTTGAGTGGGGGGTGGCTGAGGTGCGACTCGGACACTATTACGGCACTATAGGCACGCACAAAAAAACTCCCACACGAAACACACGGCACACCGCGCTGTTCAAGAAGGCCTCGATACTCAGCTCACTGGTATAGGCAGGGTAAGTGCTATTTTTTAGCGAGGTGGGGGCGACTCACTCCTCTTAGGGGGTCCGGGGATGTTCCCCGGGGAAGATTTTTTCTTTATACTGAAGTTAAAGATCATCTGGTGCCTGCAGAGCAACATTAAGCAGATCTATGGATACATCTCTAACCCCAGAATGAACACACCTGTGAAGCAGAGTCTTTTTCTTTATGTATTTTACAAATCACTCCCCTTTCGAAACTGGTATTCTTCGTTTACTGCCATAATAGTATTTCATAACTGTTTTCTTTTTCTTTTTTTTTTATAACATTAATTGTCATATGAAGGTGTGCACGCGGAAAATAATCTTGAATAATTTTTGACCAACCGTTTGGACCCACTGAGATAACTTGAACTAAAGTTAACTATCTAAACACCTCAGAGAGTCCTTTTAGCTCACCTGAGCCTTCAGCTGAGAGGGAGCTTCCTCCAGCTGTTGTGAACAACAGCCCGTCATGTCGTTACTGCCAGCTAGCTAACCAGATGCTAACAACACGGTCCTTGCTGCTGGCACCGCGTCCGCCTCTCTCTTCTCCCTCTTCTCACACACACTAAATGCGCTTTTCCGGGCCACACAGACGCGCGAGTTGAATGGACACAAGCACACTTTTATTTCCATGCACTCTCTGATGGTCTGGTGTCTTGCCTTTCTGTTGCTTCACTGACTACGGATGCAGTCGCCGTCCTTTCTAGTGTCTTGATGAGGTTCACGTTAAAGCACGGTTAATGTGATTTATTTATTGAGGGTAGAATTGTCCGGGGCTTACAGAAAAAACATTCGGGGGCAGGCAAATATTATTTTCCAACAATGTGGAATTTTATTTGGCTACATATTACACAGGATTATGCACAGCGAGAGCAGCAAATAACAGTCATAATAATTCAGACAGGGGAGCTCCGCACCCCCTGCTGCGCTAGGGGTGCTGCAGCGCCCTCCAGCACCCCCTTCCCGCGCCCATTGGATGAGGTGAGCGAAAACCCTAAGAGGTGGGAAGTAGTGGAGATACAATACTTTGTTAATGTACTTAAGTTCATATTTCTGGGTATCAGTGCTTTACATCCATACTTATTTTTCTGACAACTTTGGCTTTGACTTCTTACAGTTTGAACCACAATTACCTGTACTTTCTATTCTTACAGTGTTAACCCAAATACCTGTTACTTTCTTCTTCTTACATGTTGAACACAAATACTTGTACTTTCTACTTCGTACCATGTTGAACACAAATTACCTGAACTTTCTACTTCTTACATGTTGAACACAATACCTGTACTTTTCTACTTTCTTACATGTTGAACAACAAATTACCTGTCTTTCTACTTCTTACATGTTGAATTCATACCTGACTTTCTACTTCTTACATGTTGAACCACAAATACCTGTACTTCATACTTCTTTCATGTTGAACACAAATTACCTGGTCTTTCTACTTCTCTCATTTTCCAAACAGGCTGGTTCCTTTAGTTTGAATGTGTGTTTGGTGGCGTGATCATTATTATTTAGGTCATTGTGCTGTCCTAGTTGATTTGAACACGATCCGTGTTCCATCATTTCCTGGTCTTCTCTAAGAAGAGGGACCAAATGAAAACGGTTGTCATGTTGCCGTTGTTCAGCATGGAAACATTCATTAGCTAACAATGACATTATGTTCTTTAATATAAGGGAGGTCAGGTACTCTTTAAAACAGCTGCTAGTTATGGGTACTTTTAACTGAAGTAGCATTTCAAAGCCTCTTTCTTTTACTTGAGTAGAAGTTTAGTTCAGTACTTCTTACTTTCACACAGAGTATTTTTAACCACGAGTTATCTGTACTTCCTACTTGAATAAAGGAGAC